GGTACGTGGCCTACAGCCATTGATCTGGAAAATGCATCCCACTTCACTTCTATCGGTAAGGTTGATTAGGAACAATTTGCATTTGCTTAAGATAGATAACACTAGATAGTTACAGTGCTATCTCATGCGGATATCAACTTCCCCACCCTCTGTCATAATACTGAGCCTCTGCTCAAGTTCTGCCTCAAGACTTTGTTCTAACAACCTGGCATTCTGTGATGCTCACCCTCCTGGCACGATCACGGAAGACAAAATGGGTGCATAAGCAAATGTGGTGAAGAAAGCAGATGGTGCCTGGCTATCAAAAGATATAACGTCTGGGGTCTTAAAGGCTTGAAGGCAAACAAGCGGCCATCTAGCTCAGAAGCAACAAGTCTCATGGACGAAGCACACCAGCCTGTGCAATGATGAGGTGTTGAAGGGATCTGGTAACAGGCATCAGAAGACGAAAAGCAACAAACAAACAAAAAGTCATATTGTTGAGAACAAGCGGGGTTGGAGCAGAGACCCAAAACCCATCTGTAGACAATGGGCTATCCCCTCAGAGAAGGATCACAATGAGTCAACCAGTGCACCGTGCATCACTGATGAAACACAATATTCCTCTGGTTCCTTGAGGTTTCCTCACTCCCCACTATCATGACCCCAGTGCTGCCTTTCACTTCGGGCTAGACTGGAGCATGTACACAGGTACAGATAAGAAATAAGAGCTCATGGGGGGTGGGATGAGAAGCTGATACTAAGGGCTCAAGTAGAAAGCAAATGTTTTGAGAATGATGAGGGCAACAAATGTACAAATGTGCTGGACACAATGGATGTATGTATGGATTATGATAAGAGTTGTACGAGCCCCCAATAAAATGATTTGAAAAAGAGAGAGAGAGATGAGCTCACAACACATGGACTCCAGCAACAGGAATGGGAGCAGCGATACCAGGAGGGTAGGGGGAAGGTGACCCCACAGATTGACACACAGCACCTTACCGCCACCCCCAGGGATGAGCAACAGAAACCATGGGGGAAGGGAGGTAGCAGTCGGTATAAGATATGAACATAATAATTTATAATTTATCAGGGGGTCACGAGGGTGGGAGGGAGTGAAAAAAAGAGGAACCGATACCAAGGGCTCAAATAGAAAGCAAATATTTAAAAAGTAATGATGGCAACATATGTACAATTATGCTGCATGCAATTGATATATGGATTGTTCTAAGAGCTGAAAGCCCCCAATAAAATAATCTTTTAATTAAAAAAATATGGGGCTGGTCTAAAATAGTGACTCTCCACTGGGGACAATTTGGCAATGTCTGGAACCCTTTCTGTTCTCACAACTAGGTGTGGCGTCACTGGCATCTGGTGGGTAGATGTCAGGAATGCCACGCCTGGGATGACCCTGCGTAACAGAAGTATTGGGTCTAAAATGTGCATAGTGCTCCAGTGGAGAAATCCTGAGTTGAAGGGATCTGGCCTGTCTCATCATCCCATGGAATATCACATGATCCTTTATGTCAATGACCTTATTAAGTCAGACTAGAGGAGCAACACATGGCAAGGACTTGGCATGTGCTGAGAAGACAGGTGTGCTTTAGAAGGCTGAGACTCTTAGGTACTGTGGTAATTGCATCATCTGTTGTCAGACTTAAGAGCGAAGAGTTGGAGTTTAGCCTGTCAATCAGGTCGCTGCTTAATGATCCCATTTGGAGGTGCTAAGGAGATAAATAGCTCATTGGAGGTGGGACACATGCTCACAGCCCAAGAGACATTCCTGTGGACAAGACTCATGGAGCTACGCTAGAGCTGAAGGAACCACGTGGAGACCCCTGCTAGCACAGAGATGTCTCTACCGCCACCGGAACCACAAGACTTTCTACCCACTGGCCTGTGATCTTCCTGCATCCGGCGTCATTGCATGTGTTTTGTGATTCGGAAGACGAATTTATAGATTGGTATTAGACATATGGGCTAATATCAGACTTATGGACTTGATCCGGACCGGGTTGGGATGTTTTCTCAATATTCAATTGGTCTTGTATATGAAGCTCTTTCTTGTACACATATGAGTCTCCCTGGGTTTGTTTCTCTAGTCTACCCAGACTGACACATTATGGTACCTTGGGAGTGGGGGACTAGAGAAACAGATCATAAAATTGGAGAGTAGATATTTGTTTGACCTCTGCTCATGGTAGTTCTTCTTTGGCTAGCCAGAGGTCAGATGTGCCCTTGCGGTTCACTGCGTTTGCTTTCTGGAAAGAATACGGGAAGTTAAAGTTTTGATTATTTGTTTGGTTGTCCTTGAGATGATGAAAATGAATGTTGTTAATGTATATTTTGAGCTCAGGGGTAGAAATTGCCCTTTGAATTTCTCAGAAAGCATGCTGCTTAGGGAAAATGGCTGACAGCAAGCCTGACTCTGGCTTGATGCTGTCCCATATTTTGTATCAACAGAATAGTTTAGATGAGGATTAGGATAAGCTAAATAAAGATTGAACTTGACTGTTTTAAGAACTCAGTTTAGAATCTGCGTCTACTTTGTTTAAACGGATTTTTTCTGCTTATTGTTATTGATGTAACACTTGATAGAAATGATTATTGGGAAGTATGAAGATAGAGGGCTTGTAAGCCCATTTGCCTTGAGCTATTAAAATTTGATCTTTAAATGGCTTTAGGACATGCCTGCAAGAAAGACTCTGAAAAGATAAGTCCCACCCTTCCTTTGGAGTACTCAGGACATTTGCATTCCAAGAGACTTCACTGGGGCTGTTGTCAGAGGGAAGAAAAAGGTACTCTGTTTTTTTGAATCTTTAACTGTGTTTTTTATCAGAAGCTGGAAAAAAATCTGGAACCCTGAAGAAAACTCCTCTCTAGGACTGAACATTAAAGGGAGCCTCTGGGCAGGTTGAAATGCTTGCTAGGTGACCACCTGGATCCACTTATTGATTGGAAGTGGGAGAAATGCAGCAACAAAAAGACAGGTTGAGTTTGGCCACTGACACCTGTGGACTTTGGTTTACAGGGAAAAGAGAAGACAAGAGCAGGCTGACTGGTCTAAAGTTCATGACCTAGCCCAAGGGGCTGGGGTTGTTGAGAATTTGTGAAAGAGACCCATGGTCTAAATGTGTGGTGACCTATGGACACCCTGAGGAGGCTAAGTGAGGCAGCCCACATTGAGTTGGCCAGCATTTGACAAAATGAAGAGAAGATTTTTGAGCCTGTGAACTGACACATGCTGCTACTGACTTTAGAGATGGCCTGTCCTGATTTGACTTTGCTTATGGATGTGGACTTCACAGGTTCCAACTGGAATGAAGATTCTTCATGTCAAAGAATATGATTGTCTCCTAGAGCACTGGGTTGATGTAAGTGGGCAAAATGGATATTGGATACTCCAAATTGGGGGTATAAAGGGATGAACTGGTTGGCTTACAAACTGTCATAGGTGCTGGAATATAATCATAGGATTGTAGGATTAAGGTGTAGGTAGGTGTTACTTAACTGGAATTGTTAGGCATGGGATATTTTTGTTTTGTTCACTTATAGGATATTATGTTAAAATGAAGGTGGCACATATTGAATTGTATGCATTTTAGTTTTATCCTGTTAGGTACAGATATGATTCTATTATTGTTTGTTTGAAAATTATATATGGCTAAAGAGTTGTATGAAAGTGTCAAATTGACAAGGGGTGGTCCGTGGTAGTTACATAATATGTTGTTAGATTGAGACTTAAGAGTGAAGGGGTGGAGTTTAGCCTGTCAATCAGTTCACAGCTTGATGACCTCATTTGGAGGCGCTAAGGAGATAAATAGCTTGTTGGAGGCGGGACACATGCTCACTTCCTGGGAGACATTCCTACAAATAAGACACATGGAGCTACTCTAGAGCCCTGGAGCTGAAGGAGCCACATGGAGACCCCTGCAGTGCTGAGATGCCTCTACTGCCACTGGATCCACAAGACTTTCCACACACTGGTCTGTGATCTTCCTGCATTCGGCATCATTGCATGTGTTGTGTGAGTCTGAAAAGGAATTTATAGATTGGTATCGGGCATATGGGCTAATATCAGACTTATGGACTTGATCCGGACTGGGCTGGGCTGTTTTCTTAATATTCAGTTGGTGTTGTATAGGAAGCTCTTTCTTGTACACGCCCGAGTCTCCCTGGATTTGTTTCTCTCATCTACCCGGACTCACACAGGTGCCATTGAATCAATCCCTACTCAGAACACCCCTGTGTACAGCAGAACGGACAAGCGCCCAGCCCTGAGCCATCCCCACAATCGCCATGTTTGAACCCCTGGTTGCAGCCACCGTGTTGGGTGGTCTAATTGAATCTTCCTCTTTTCACAAGCATGATGACCGTTTCCAGGGATTGGTCTGCCCTGATAACATGTCCAAAATACTCTTCTTTCGTTAGCTTGAGCTACTCTTTGTTCAAGAGCAAGTTTCAGAGTCTCTTCTGACACCCACCTTGGTGTTTTTGTTCTTCCCTATCTTTTTAAAATGACCTTTAGCTTGAAGCATGTATGATGTTCTTGACATCACCCACACCTCGGCCGCTTTTGCTCATGCTTTAGCAGGTAGGGACTGCAGGTGAGAGAGGAATCACTGGTTAGTCCAAACAGTCAGCAACTTCAACCGCCATCAAAAGCCCCCTGGAGCCCAGGTCCACTCCGACACCTCTGGGCTTCCCATGAGTTGCCATTACCTCAGGGATCGGAGACTTTCATAGGTGCCCCGTGGTATGAAGCCTGTCGGGACATCCCTGACAAAGTGACAAGTGACAAACTATCTCACCTGGCCCCTTGCGCGTATAAGGAAATACAACATCTGATAGGCCTTTTGGAGATTTTTTTTTTTTCCACTCTAGTTCATGTTTATTAGTCTGCATAGTGACTTTGACGTCCCAAACACCGTGGGAACCCCTCAGCCCCACCCACCTTATAGAGGAATGCAAGTTATTGTTTCAATACCTGTTATAAAAAACAAATACCCCTTAAAAATCTGATTTTATACTTTTCTTATTTCATTTTTTTCATTTCTTTATAAAACAGTCATCTCCTCACTAGCAGCTCTCTCCCCTAGAGTGGGGGAGGGGGGTGGAGGAGTTTGGGCACCTCCAAAGGGGGCAAGGAGAGCCCAGGGTTACCTCCGGAGGTTCTTCTGGGCCTGTTTCAACAACGTGTCAAAGTCAAGAGACTGGAATTTGCTCTTTACAGGGGCAGGGTCAAAGTCTTCCCGGTTGGAGTCAAGATCAGAATAGCTCCTCTTGCAGAACTGCCTGCGGCCCCCAAAGCAAAGATCAAAAGGTTGTTCATCTGCCTGTCGCAGCTTGTGCCCACTCTCGATAGCAGCAATTGCCTCCTCAGCGTAGCGATAAGTGACGAAGCCATAGTTGTCGCCCTGGACACGGAAGTGGATGGTGCACTCCTCAATCTCTCCGAAAACAGAGAACCTCTGTTTCAACTCTGACCGAGTCATGTGGCCAGGGATCTTCCCAATAAAGACCACCCTTCTCTCTTCTATTGCACGCTCCTTCTGCA